CAAAGTTATGGGTGATTATGATTGGATTATGTTTGGATTGATTGTGATAGATTGTGGTAGATTGTGGTTGATTGTGGTTGATTGTAATTGATTGGATTATAATTATCATTATATTTCATTATTATACTAAATCATTTTTATATATCATTATACTAAATCATTTTTATATCATTATACTAAATCATTTTTATATATCAATATACTAAATCATTTTTATATATCATTATTATACTATATATTGTTATTACTAATTTTTATATTATCTTTATTATATTATGATTAATTGATTACTAACAAATTATAGCCAATTTGTAAACCATTTCAAAATGTTAGAACCTTCTAATTCTCTTGTTACTCAATAATATTGATTCTTCTTGAATGTTTTTAGAACGTGATTTTTTCTTGGTGATAACTATTTGATCAGATTCTATCAAACCAGACGAATCTAATTCACTCTTAGATAAATCACTCTTAAACATTGTATCAATCGCGGTAAAGGACTGCCTATCTTGAAAAGCTTTAAGATCCGCGGTGAATAACACCTAACAAAGATAAATAATATAAATAATATAAATTTAATGGTTAGATTAAATGGCTAAATTAAATGAATAATGAAATGATATAAATGACGTAGATAATGTAAAAGAATTTACCGAATGAGCCCAGCCACTATAATCACCAAACAAATTCCGAAAATGATCTCCTATAGCTTCATACAACCGAGTGGTTAACGTTTTTGTGGCTGTTCCTTTTGTATTAAATCCATATTCTCGTTTAGCAATTTGCCAGACATGTGTATCAATGGGAATTGCGTTATGTTTATCTAAAGACATTAAGCACTAAAATGAATTCAAATCAATAAATGAAGTTAATTTGAATGAATTAATAGATTAAATCATTTGAATATAATGAATTAATAGATTAAATCATTTGAATATAATAATTTAATAAATTAAATAAAACAAATCAATTAATTAAGCAATGATTAATTAAACGAATAATTTAAATGAATTAATCATCGATATCCAACAAAGAATGATTTAAAAAAATGAAAATTAAAGATTATGTAAACGATGATGTAAAAGTTGATACAAATGTAAGATAAAATGTAAAGTAAAATGTAAGATAAAATGTAAGATAAAATGTAAGATAAAATGTAAGATAAAATGTAAAATAAAAGACGATGTAAAACACAGGAGATAAAAATATGATGATGTAAGTCATGAAATAAAAGATGAGATAAAAGATGATCTAAAAGATGATTAAATAATAAAAAATGATGTAAAAGATAAAATACAAACCACACAATCGGCAACCTTCGGACCTACCTAATAAAAATAAAAATAAAAAACGGGCAACAAAAAATTCGAATAAAGAAGTGAATAAAGAAGTGAATAAAATGAATAAAGTGAATAAAGTGTTATACTTGCATTCGAAACACGAAACACAAAACACAAAACACAGAAATAATGATGTATTTACACCGGAAAGTTTTAATAAAGCCGAATGTGCCTCTTTATAATCCACATTTCGTAATGAAGATAACCATTTTTCTCCATCGGAATAATTTTCCGTCAAATATTTTGCCGTTTGCGTAATATATTTTGCCCTATAACCAAATCCTAACTGTCGGAGCTCAGACTCAACGTTTGATGAAGCAAGTTTGTCCAAAGTGGGAAAGTCATAATATTCATGTCCATTTAAAGTATATATCAAATTACCATATCTATTACATAACTTCTCGATCTGATAAATAAAAATACAGTAACAATTAATCTAATATATCTAATAAATGAATAAAATAACAAACCCGTCCCAAAAATAAAATTAAAAAAATTCGAGTGATGAAAATCAAATGAAAATGGAATGATTTTTACCATTTGAGAAATCCGAATGATATTATTATTAGTAGAACAAATAAAGCAGAACAAGTTTTCAACAGGATCTTGACGTAGTATTCTAATTCCTTTAAACTGACAAGCTATTTTTGCAAAATGTTTATCCGCCATGCTCCAACGATCATAACATTCACGTAGGTTAATCTTTGGACTTAGATTAAAATAATCCGTGAGAAATTTATCAATTAGTTCAATTTCAACCTCATCGGAAGATTTTTTTGTTGTTGTAGGAAAATATGATTGATATTCTATGTCCGAATCTAAAAATATCAATCAATGAAAAAAATAATTAAATAGTTATTAGTCTAAACTTTTATTATGCAATTCATTCAAATTTTAGAATATAATAGGAATACTGTCCACCTTGTTTCTTTGTACAAAAATAAAACCGTTCATAAAGATAATGTATGATGTACCTGTTTGTCTCAGAGTAATAAACCTTCCTTTAAGAGCACAAGACCTTAATTATAAATCGATTCAATGTAAGGAAAATAATTAATATCTGTTTATACTTGTATATAATAAAGTTTGTATATTCTGTGAATATTCTATACGAATATATTCTGTACGTATACGTATATATTCTGTATATGTATATTCTGTACGAATATATTCTGTATATATTCTGTATATATTCTGTATATATATATTCTTGTATTTATATTATTATTATTATTATTGTTATAATAAAGTTTACACTACATTATATTGTATAACGTTTTCTGTTTTGAATATTCTAATGTTTTTAAGTTTTAATAGTTTTTAATAATAATAGCATACCATTGGTTTTCACCAGAAACTTTCCACCTAAACGCTTGACCACATTTCAAAGTAGTGTCTAGTCTCAACTCTTCCGGAGGAACTTTTAGACTACGCCAGGTTGACATATGCTTCAGGTTCGTCGTCATTTTTTTTTTTTAATAAGCCACTGAGACTCGACAGGAGCTAGCTGGAGGCAAGAGTTGTAACAAGGAAAATGCTAGACTGAATCCTAAAGAAGCAATTTTCACCGAAAATCTAGTGATTTGATAATCGGACTTTATCACCGGTTAAGTATCAGATACATAAAAAATGATAAACCATACATTTTACTTTTATACTATTACTTTGGTTTATTTTTAAAACATAAGCTGCACGTGGACGATAAGTGATTAAAGTGATTTTAAAAGTGATTAATTGAAATATTGAATTATTTGTTAACTAATGTGAAAATCTATTTTAAACAACAAGTAACACATTTATATGAATTAATGAACTTACAATAGAAGCAATTCAAGTAAATTGCGTGTACTAATCCCATGTTAAAAAATTTAAAAATAGAATATTACCTTATACAGCGTAGTGTTCAAAAAGTAAACATGTACAACAATAATACGATGAATTTTTTTACTCAGTTATCTGCATGAGTACTTTAAATATGGAATTAACGATCTATATATCATTTATTTATGTAATTTTTAAAATAACTGTTTAGAACTATATATTTAATTGTTTTACTGTGAGAGATGTTATAATATTACTAAATCTTTTTATATATATATTTTTTGTATATATATACTCGAAAACAGCGCGATTTATTTTTTTCGCCCTTCGTTCAAATTTCAAGTCTTGAGCAAAAAAAAAAAAAAAATAATAATATAGTAAAAAAAAAAAACATCTTGATCAACAATAAAACAATACTTTTTTTTTGGTTTTTTTTTTTTTTAATAGATTCATACAGAATAATGTCGTCCAATGATAATCTTTCGTCTCGCTTAGAATTACAGAAACGTCTCCAAGATCGGTTAAAAAGCAGAACCGATACGACCAGTAGACCGACGCCAAGAACTTATGATCAATTACCACATTATTTACAATTAGTGCTTCCTGATAGTTATACGTATATTATAAAATCTTATAAAGAAATTGAACTTGAAAAATTCGAAGGAGCACCTCCAGCAGCTTTCGA